TTGCTCAGAAAAAGGATCAACATGCTCTGAAGTCAGAGCACAAAAACCTTTTTTGGTAACAAAATATCGATTTCTGCTGTCCCTGTATCGATACATTATTAGCAAACAAAATATCACCATACTACACAGTATCGATTTTTTCCCCCACCCCTAACTACTAAGTACAATTTTATATTGACAGAGATATAATTAGGAATATGTAGATGTGGTACATTCAAGTAGAACTGAAATGTTTTAACAGCTGTGAATAGTTAGTGCAGTCATGTGGTGCTTTTAAAAAGGTTTAAACAATAATAAACACATTTTTTGATGGTTTGATCTCGTTTCATGTCAGATTTCACTTTTTTTTTTTTTAAATGAATTGTTGGATAACTTACCATGAGTTAAACTCAGTGCTGATCTGAGGTTTATCTGGTGGTACTATCTGTAACTAACAAATTTTAATGGTATCAAATGTTAGAATGAGGTTTTCTGATTCAGAATGAATGCAGACGTAATGCCTGGTCGGTAGTTTAAACACGAATGTTATAATCTGTTTAAGAACAGCCAGTTTAAGCTCTGATCCAACAGCTCGATGGGCATAGATAAACAGACCTCCTGAAAAGAAATGGGTCATGACATTTTGATAATTAAGCAGGCTTTTGTTTTTAGCGTTCATGCCCGTTGGTGTCAGTCCATCCTGCCATATTTCATGCTGTCTGAAGACTAAAACAAAGACGCTATTCATTTGCACCCATTAATGGCCAACGGCACTGTCGAACACAACTGACAGAAAGAGTGTTTACGGTCGAGCTGGGAATGTCGAACACCAGAAATGTACAGGAAATGAACATGAAAAGGCAATATTTGATACTCATTAGTTTCAGTCCATATCCCTTGTTAACCGCTTGTTTCCCTGTGTGTTTGTCTCTTAGTCGGGCTGTGCTGACCTGGAGCACATCGCTGCCAGTATGAAGGCTCTGCTGGCCCCTGGAGCCACCGATGGGACGGAAATGTTTGGGGCCCTGCCTCGACCCCGTCTCAACACAGGGGACTTCTCTCTCAAGCACTGAGTGAAGGGCGGAAGGAGAGGGTGTAGGGAGGGAAGGAAAGGGAGTGAGGCAAGTACAAAGAGGGAGAGTGATAAAGGGATAGGAGGAAATGTGGAGAGGAGTGACGGGAGGAACCCTGGATTTTCTGGCAAATGTGACGTACAGTATGTGACACAGTGTAAAAGCTAATACCTCCATTTATTTCTCACTAACCAAAATTAACGGCACATGCTTTGTGGAGTAACTTTCCTAAAGAAATGTGGTTATGAACACTAATAACGTTTCAACACTACCCCTGCCCCCTCCCACTTCGTCAATACTAGCTCCACGACACTACATTACAATTGGACCTCGAGATGTTTGTGTAGCGACCCACTGCACTGACTAAAAGTCACTAAAACAGGGTGTGTAATCATGTACCTGGTGTTTTTTGGACGTTTGCCTTTTGGTCAGGTTACCTGTGAAGTGATGAGACTTTGGGGAAGAGCCGCCTGTACCCGCTTCATCATAGATGCTGCTTCTTTGTGCTTAAGTTCCAACTTTGAGTTGTATTAGCTTTATTATGAAGATGAGGCAATATGTGGTAGTTAATATTTAAACTTTTTTTTTTCGATCGATGCCACTCTCAAGTCTGTTAAATGTTGAGGAATAATCCGGAGACTGTTAGCTTAGCTCGTCTCAGTTTGGCAAAGCTTTGCACACCAGAAACTAGATGGACTCAGTTCAACCTATCAGCCCCACCAAAGCTAAAAATTAACATGTCTTTACCAACAGAGGGATCTAGGCCTGTAACTAGTTTATCCAGCCCTTCACAGCCGCACCCGACTGTGCAGCATTTCTAGCTTTACAAATGTAAACAAACAAGGAAAAATGGATACATTGGCCATAATTTCAGCTTAGGAGTGTTCAGGGGTGTTTCTTTTCACTGTCAGCATTACAGTGAAACTGTTTAAAGTTGTACTGTGAAACTACCCTGACATATGGTGTAAATTTTATAAGAGGTTCTGTAGTTCTTTACGCAATTTTGGCTGCATATGGTGCTAAAAATGGTTCCTACCTCCACCTCAGAATTACAGGAGGAAACTAACATGGGTCTAAATCATTTGCAATAGGTGGTGGTGCTTAGTAACTTTACTATGCACACGAAACTGTCTTTAAATCGTTGCTGTAAACAAATTAGATGCATGTTAATCAGTGACTTTTAAGAGCGAGCCAGCCCCTGTGCTATTTAACCTCTGGTTCTCAGTTCACACCTGCAAAGGTATTTGTGTTTCAAAGGTAAATAGGCAAATTGGTCCTTTTTAAAGTTTAAAACTTGCAGGGAGAGTCTCAACTTTTATGGAGAAAACATAAATCCAACATTCCCCTGAAAAAATCCTATAAGATCCGCACAGATCTGTGGGTTTAAACGCAGAAAACGTTTGCATCTGTTGGTCATTAATCATTGACGAGGTCAGATTTAACTGCAGGGCCTCGCCGTCATGTTAAAGTTGCCACATTTGTTTTTTTTTCCCCCTTCTGTATTCTCCCATCATTTACCTGGTAAGATGACCAAGAGGCCTGCTGTTGCCCCCAATAGAAACCAGTCTATTCCTTCTAAGGGGTAGAAACCAGTGGTTGCTTTGATATGAAGCTTGTGGCTTTAGATAATGTGAGCAGAGAGCAGAGGACACCAGCACCTCGTCGTAACATGCCTATTTTTACTTTTACTTTTGCCAACGAATGACTGACTGATAGAATGATTGTAAATCAAAACTGATTTTTAGGAGATGGGTTTTTTCTTTTTTTTTTTCCTTTTTCTTTTTTTTGCTCCTGATATGTTGTTGAAAAGATTGAATGAATGAGAAGACTGTGTGAGAGAGGGTGAAAGAGAGGTAGAGTGGATCTGAAAAGATAAATGTCCACGTGTGACATTTCGAAAAAACCAACAAATGTTCCGTTAACTACTTTTATGTTTCAAATAAAGGAGCAACACCAAGAGAAAAGACTTTCTGTGTCATTATAGATGTATTCTTATAAAAGGCCTCTAGAGTGTACCAGCGCTCTGTGTTTAAGTCTGCCAGGCAGCAGTCGCACAGATATAATAGAAGAGCTCAGTGTTATTACACAATAGGAGAGTTTATTGACTACATTTGGCACATACAAAACATCCAGACTGAATAAAACAGGCAGTCTAGCTCATGAAAAGTCCCAGCTGGATTGAAATATACCATTAAATGCCCATTCTTCTAAGTTTAAATAACAGATAAATGCCCGTTAGTACGATATTTGGGCATCTCTGGGGACGGTCTGAAACCAATAAGCTTTCTTCATGCACTAGAGAAAGCAGAAATGGTTACAGCATTTGTTCCCCAAACATCACAAGATCCCCATCTCCCCCTGCTTTTTAAATTGATACGTGACCCTCCCTCCCTTTTCCCCGATTTGCTTATTCTACTGTGTCACTGATCCTTTTTCCGAATAAGGCAGAATGAATTGGTGCCAACCCAGAATCCAGGGAAGACCTTCTCCTGGAGGTTTTCTTTGAATTTGTGAATCAGCCGCACCTCCTTCTCAGCATCTCCCTCCACCAAGAGGAACTTTATGATGCCTGCGGGCTGGTCGACGTAGACGCCCATGGTGGAGGACAGGGGCAGCTCGATGTCCACGTTCACTGCATTGTGCCAGATCTGACAGCAGGAGCCAGACCAGCCGGCACCCCAGGAGGTTTCGTTCTCTCCGATGCCGCAGGGTCCGTCCTGCACCTTCCGGGGTGAGCTCTCGCTGACCACCCCGATCACCACCCAGCCGTCGTATTCCACCTCCCAGTACCCTCGATGGCCTAGCAGCCCTTCCTTGCACAGCACCTAAAGGTTAGACGAGCCATAGTAGGAAATTAAGCTAGCAACAAAAAAATGGCTTCAAGAATTAAATGATGAGCAGAATTATTGATTTGATTTGCAGACAATTTAATGAAGTAATGTTCCTAATAGATTTTATTGCACTTCTGAACCTTTTAAATTTGCTTGTCTTTAATTATGGTAAACTGCCTTTGGATTCTTAATTGTTGTTGTCAGATCAAGATATTAACTTGGAAGACTCGAGTCATTTTTGATTTTAACATACAGGAAAAAAACACCAACATGTTGGTTCCAAGACCAAAAGTTTAAATAAAATTCTGGTTCCTGTTCGTTTTACTTCCTGCCTCTTTGATGGGCCCTCAAGCCTGTTCCCATAATGCCCAGAACGATGATTAACTCCAAGCTTACCTGTGGTGAGTGGTCGTATCTCTCAGGTCTCTGGGGATAAGGGCACACTGCATCTGATGTACGAGCCACCTTAGAGCCGCCCTCTGAAATCCACAACAGTTTCTCTGCAGTTCTGTCATCGAAAGAGAGGGGGATCCAATCTGAGGAAAGGGGAGGGCAAAAATACAAACTAAGGCCGGGAGGCTGGTGATGGACTGGTGGCTGTCTTTCAGAGTAACCGAAAATTAAAGACTTTCAACTTTAAAATTGCACGTCTAAGTTTCGAGATCTACTGAATCCAACTCAGAAATTAGATTTTTGAGAAACAAAACAAAAACCTTGATCTTAAATTTCTGTTGTTGCAGTTTTCAGAGTATTAATAAGCAACTTTTCTGTTTGATTTTTGGCTTAAAGTATGTTTAACTGATATCTTTGGATTTAATTGGGGGCACTAACCTAAAATAGTAATATTGACTATTTTTGCATTTATTCCACATTATTGTAATTTTCCCTCCTCCACTACATAAACTTTATTTTGTCATCGTAAGTACATCCTTGTACGGTGGCTGGGAAGTGCAAATCGCAACAAATTAAAAAACCCGCAACAAATTAAAAATCCTTGACGGAAAGGGATTGTCTGAAATACCGGAAGTGACACAACTGATTAGCCTAATGGGGCTTTTGGAGCGTGATGTCACGAGAAGGGGCGTGGCCAGAATTTTTGGTTGAGGCGCCATGTTTCTGGGCCAAACAAAGCGCTAGCGAAAGAGGAGCGAAAGTACGCGGATAACACCAGCTATGGTTCGTACTTGCTGTGCGGTCGGTTGTAAAGTTAGATCGCACGACCGGCAAGGGAATAAGGTTGAAAATGGTTTATCTTTTCATTCTTTCCCCACCTGGAAGCGACATGAGGCAGCTCATGTATCGGATGTTATCAAAAGAAGGCGTCTAGTCTGGATAGCAGCTGTGAGACGAGCTGATATCCAGTTCTCTTCCATCTCCAAATATCTGTTGGTGCTCCAGACATTTTCATTCCGGTAAGTTATAGATATGTTCATATCACTCTTTATCCGGTCTTTAAGTCTGACGTCACTAGCCGTGTCTGGGCTCAAACGCTGCTGCAGGTCCATAAATCACTGAGAGTTGAAAAACTATCTAAAGTCTTTCATCTGTAATAAAATGATCAGCGTTCTGCTCTACCATGTGTAACAATTGAGTTTATCATCCAGGCATCCATGAAAACGAAACGGAATTTATGACATTTAACAGAGTTAGAAATTAGCAGGAAGTTAGCTCGCTAGCTTCCATCTAAATGAGGGATTTTGGAAACAAATTCAAACGTACAGCTCTGCTATCACTTCCAACATAAATGAAGACAGAAAACTAATTAAAACTAAGGCTAATCAGTTGTGTCACTTCCGGTATTTCAGACAATCCCTTTCCGTCAAGGATTTTTAATTTGCTGCAGGTTTTTTTTTAAATTTGTTGCGGGGTTTTGTAATTTGCTGCAGGTTTTTTGTAATTTGCTGCAGGTTTTTTGTAATTTGTTGCGGGGTTTTTGTAATTTGTTGCGTTTTTTTAATTTGTTGCGATTTGCACTTCCCAGCCACCGTATCCTTGTGCATGTACTTGCCCCAAGTTCAAATCACTTGCATGAATACTTGAATACTACTTTTGCCTGTATTAAAACAGATTCAGGCCTTCTCACCAAACATCTGGACCGGTGTTCTGTCATTATTCATAGACAGCTGTGTTCAGCTTCTCTTTGTTTTACTTTTCTGTTAAGTAACCCAAAGATGTTAAATGTCATATTTTTATGACATAGAAACTGTTTTGTTTTGGACCGTTCCTCTTCTGACAGGCTCCTGGAATCTTATCCAAGGGTATCTAGAAATGCTATGTCCCCAGAACCTTTGGCACTCTCCCACCTCGATGCTTCACTGTCAGCACTGTTATGCATTCATTGTGAAAGTTATGGCCAGGTTCTTGCCAAACACGCTGGACCCCTTCTGAGCCAAATAACTTTATCTTGGTTTCATCTGACAGAAGAATGCGCTTCCTGCTGTTTTGTTCCGAACAGCCAGCGAGAGTTTTCTGTCACTGATGTTTTGCAGTGTCTCTTGCACTCCCTGAACTGCCACATAAGCTCTTCCATCCCAGTTTCAGTGAAAAGCCCAGTACCACCCCTGTGCAATACTTGTAAGTCTATTTTTCAGAGTTAAACTGTACAAGCAGCGCATTGACCATGATGTCAATTTAGGAGCACTGCTGCGCAGTTTACTTCCTCCACTGCTTTTTCACTTTTCTTTTTGTTTCTGTGATTACAGATTTTCTAACTTGTGTAAATTTTTGTTGTGTTGAGTTTCTACATACAAGCTTTTATAGCTGAGTTAGCTGTTTTTTGATTGTTTATAAGAGAAAATCTTAATTTTAGTGCTCCTGGAGTGATTAGGATTCGGAAAATATTGTGAATTACCATGTGGCTCTGTCAAATCCAGTGTGTTATTGGGAGTATTAGTAGTTTATATTAATGAATAGCACCTGGGTAAATGTGAAAAATCCTCACATTTTGGGGATACTTGGAGCGAGAGTTGAGGAAAGACTTGATTAATGTGACAAGTGACCCTTCAAAGACGGGCTACGTTAAACTGGCAGGTGAACTACGAACACCGCAAACATAGGTTTACCTACTTACCTATCCATCCACCCCACCTTTTAGCATAATTAATTTAACTTTATCCACAAAATGCCTTTAAAAAAAAAAGGCATGAATCACACTGGATCATCCCAAGTGTGTGTGGACAGTGTGACAGGCATTCCTTTAATTTCCTTAGTATTAAAGTGATTTTTTTCAGAGAGTGGTTCTCATTTATACAGCCTACATGAAACAACATGGTAAGAACTCAAGAGGCAGTTTTTGGGATCCATTTTTGGGACATTGTAGTTTCAACCCTGCAGAGTAAAATCACCCACATTAGCTGTGCATTAGATGATCAATGATATGGTAAGTTAAACTGGTGGAGGTCTGTCAGTGGTTTAAAACGAATGACACCAGAGGCTATAAAACTGGTTGTAAATGCATTAATTCTGTCACAGCTTGATTATTGCTGTGTGATCCGGTGCTTCCAACAAGTAACTCAACTGCTAGAAAGATGTCGGCCTATATGTTGATGAGTTTAATCACAAAAACACTCGTGACAAGAATGTAAACGTATTATATCGAAGACTGTTTTAGAATTTTAGCCAACATATCAAATCTGATTTGCAATATAAATTAGGCTCATGTGGCCAAAAGTTAATACAAGTAGTATACAGAAGACCGATTATAAAACTTTATAACCCTGATCTTGTAAATGGGACTGGAAGATAAGTAATGTTTTATTAGAATGATTATTTTTTTGTATAAATTACATGGTACCTGTATAAGTAGAAGCAGCTTGTTTGTGTGTGTGTGTGTAGGTCAGACCTCAGGAAGAGCAGCTAAAACTGAGGCTGATGCTTTAACAAGCAAGCAAACAAACATGAAGTGCCAGTGCCGTCAGATTCTCTTGACTCCTCATGACCCTTAACATCCTTCTCGGTATCCTTCCTTCGTTCATTATTGCTTCTCATTACTAGCTTTGTTTGGTAAAGATTAACTCCTGGGTCTGAAAGTCTTATTTCATTCAGCACAGTTATTTTGTAAATTATTGTCCCATTTGAGTAAAAGGAAAAAGGATAAACTAAGGCATGCTGTGGGCCTACTGTATGACTGACATCCACTTTGAGGACACGCCTGTGCAAATACAATAATATACCTATAATTTATTCCAATGTGGATCATGTTATAATACATGTTTGCTGACAACATCAGTAACCTGATGATGTAAACTAACCCAGCAATGTGAGTGAATGAATCTCAGGGTTGGAAAAGCTTAAAAAAAAGTTGGGTTATATGAGAGTCAGCCCCCTGCAGAGTCCCCTGCAGTCTTTCTCAGAATCAGCTGCTTACTGTGTGAGCAGTGAGTATAGCAGGGTAAATAATATTTACTGGCCCTATTTTAACAGTCTGGTCTACCCCCCCCCCAAACAAGAACAACCAAAAAAACAGGCATA